TGCTTCAGCATTCAAACCTAGAAATGGGAAGACTTCCTGCCTTGGAATTGGGGTACAAAACACGTCTTAAACGCACACTTCCAACATACTTAAGTATTAAGTATTAAATTAAGTTGAATCCTTTACTTTAATTTATGTTTATTAATTTATTATTATTATTTATTTTTTATTATTTATTATTATTTATTATTATTTATTATTATTATTATTATTATTTATTTATTAAATTATTTATCTTTTTATTTATTTATTATTATGTTATTTATTTATTTATTTTATTTACTTATTTATTTACTTATATATTTATTTACTTATGTATTTATTTATCTATTATAAATTTGTATGAAATTTGTATGAAATATATCATTATCATTAACATGTTATCTTAAATGATGATTTAAGATAACTGAAACTTCCAAATTTTCATTTGTTAAAAGTATTACTAGATATCTAAGATAGTTGTAATATCAATAAAATAATACAAAAAAAAGGTACGAGTCACTAGCTCTAAAGGTGTGCTGTGGGTTAGTCTAGTAAGACTAGTAAAAGAGATACAGAGATAGTTCTAACACATATAGATAAATATTCAGGTAATAGTGATAGAATGACCGCAAAGAAAAGATATTCCAATTTTGAGGAGCTTCCATATGATGAGCAATTCCTCAAAGATGAGAATGATATGATATTAATGATGCGGAACCTTGGTATGGGATCCTGTAAAACATAGTGGCTTCGTAAAAGTGAAGAGATTACTTTCAGTTCTACGGCAGCTGCATTCATTATTTCAAACGAAAAGGGAGCAATGCCTATTCTATATGATGAATGTTTCTTTAAGTTCAACACGAGACAGAGTAAGTGAAGCGCACAATATTATCTTTTCAGTTGTTTGTGGTCGGTCTAATCTGGTAGGCTATATGAAAAGTAATGGGATCATCGAAATGTGTTTTTGAATAGAAAAAGAAGAGAAAAGAGGAAATTTGGATTGTGGATGTAGTGTAGAATTTAGATTATATATTAGTGAAAATGAAGTAAGAAGTAGGAAGCAGAAATTGAAGTATAGGTTTAATTTTTTTTGTTCTTATTATACATATAGTTTTTTTATAAGTAAAAGTGAATTAATTAAGAGTTAAGAATTAATAGTGGTATGATAGGTTTAGGTGGAAGTAAGTCATGACATGATTTTTTTGTTAGTTGTCAGCAG